GGTTTCCCAGGTTTGTGTATTGGGATTATAAGGTATTTGCTCCAAACTTCAGGGATTTTTGCTTCATTTGTCCAGATGTCATTTAATATATTTAAAAGGCGTTGTTTAGTTATAGCAGGGAGGTTTGACAACATCGGGTAGTGGATATTATCTATTCCTGGAGAAGTGTTATTATTTTTCTTTAACGCTCGATTTAGTTCTTGTATTGAAAAAGGACTACTGAGAATATGATTATTACAAGAATTAATTGGGATTTTCATAGGTTTTTCAATAACCCAATTGGGAGCTATTTTATTGTGAAAATCTTCTGCCCAATCGCCCCATTCCATTACAATCTTATTTGTTTGTTTTCGATTTTTGAATCTGTTTAATTTTGACCAGACCTCTTTCATAGGTGTATTTTTATTTAAACTACTACAGTACTCCCGCCAGCTTTTCCTTTTCGCCTGATTAGTTACTTGTTTTACGACTGCATCTTGGTTCTGGTAATTATAAAGGTTTGTTACGTTGGGATTTTCTTTGAATATTCTGAAAAGTAGTTTTCTTTTATCAACTGCCCTATTACATTCTTCAGTCCACCACGGTTTGCATTTTTCTGGTTTGTATGACTTATTTGAACTGTACTTTGGAATGGCTATACTGGCTGCTTCATTTATATCAGTAATTAGCTTATCGTAACTATCGTTTACAGTTTGCTTTCTTGGATCATCTAAGTAATTACTAAAGACCGACCAGTTTGCTTTATTTATATTCCAAATTTTATGGGACTTTGGGATTAATCCCGTAGATTCTACAGAACACTTAAATTACTTCCCAGTCAAAAAGATGGCTGACATTTTGAGAGCAAAAGGTGATATCTATCGCACTATTTCTTTGTCCTGGTCTTGTGATGAGAGTTGACTCTCCTGTATTTAGAAAAACTAGACCAGATATATTTAATGCCTCTAGTAAATTTTTACCTTCGGTATCTTCTGCTTCTGAGCCAAATGCTTGATGATGAGCATTGAAATCCCCACCAACAATACATGGCTTTGGTATGTTATTAAAAAAAGTTACAAATTGATTTACTGTAAGTTTAGATGACGGTTTAATATAAACTGAAACAATATGTAATTTTTTAAAATTCCCTATAGTAACACACACACACGTAGCCATTATTTTTGGTATTATTGCCAATGGAATCTCTAAATAAGATAAGTTATTTTTTATTAATAAGGCTACACCTGCTTTACCGTCATCCCTGTCCATTCGACAACAGTTATAACCAGCGAAATTATAATAAATGTTGGGTTTAAACCACGTTTCTGACAGTAAAGCTATGTTTACATTGTAATTATGTAGTAAATGTTCTAAATTTGCTTTATTTGCAACTGCTGATCTGCAATTCCATTGAACCATTGTGAAAAGTCTATTTATGTCTGCACACATAGTGTAATGTATGAAGAAACGGAAGTTATTTTTTGGTTATAATCCACTCTTAGTATTATATTAAAATAGGGTATTTTAGGGAAAGCAGATAACTAGTTTAAAGTGTATTCTGACCTTGTCGATATCGCTTTTCTATGGTAAGTTGAAATGTAATTTAAAAAAAAATAATATTTAATGTGATCGAAACTGGTGGATGTTTGACAAGGTCGAGACTGAAGAGATGTTTCTTAGTTTAGAGTTGATTGTATCTAAAATATCTTGTTCTTGTATATCGAATGAATTTTTGTTTTTAAGGGTATTGACAATAGTATTAATTATGTCTAAGACTAGGGAAGTGTTTAAAATATCTACACTATTTTGTGACTGGTTTACAAGTGGATTTAATGTTTTTGGTAAATTAGCGGAATACAATGAAGATTGTAGAATACCTCCTGGGGAAGAAGGGACATTAACAGGAGTAACAATTTGTTTGTGTATGTTTAATATAGGATCAGGAGATTGTGGGCGAGCCCTTTTATTATCCCGATAAATTGTTTGTGTAAAATGGGTAGGTCTAGGAGATGAATTACAGTTAAAAAAGGGTCTAGATTGTGAAGAGCCATTTGAAGTGATTAAAGCGTAAGTCGCTTTAGGTGTTTTTCCACAAGCATCTTTATAAGAAAGGTTAGTTTGTGACATGAGCTTTTTAATTTCTTTTTGTCGTGAGAATTCTGGACATTCTTTTGTGGCATTGGTATAGTGAGCGCCATTGCAATTAAAACATTGAGGGGGTAGATTGACTTCAGGACAGATATCAGGTTCATGGTTTTGTTTACATTTTACACATCTCTTGGAACTTTTACATTGTTTGCCCAAATGACCGTACCTAAAACAGTTATAGCAAAGTACCACCTTTTCGACATATGGAACTACTTCAAATATAACATGATTAATTTCTAAATACTTTGGCAGAGTTTGTGACTTAAAGGTAACTAAGACAGTCTGAGTGGGGACAAATTTTGTGGTATTATTTTCTGTTATTTTTCTAGAAAACCGTTTAGCAGAATCGACACTGAATTTGCAGTGCATGTCGTGTTCCCTTATGTTGTGTTTTAAATATTCATCTGAGTATTCCAGATCGACATATTTAATAATACCTCGCCGGTGGAGCATAAAACGGGGAATATAAACATTTAAATTATAATTTTTTAATTGGTTAGAATTTATTAACGAATTGGCTGTTTTATAATCTTTGCATTTAACTCTAATTCTATTACGTCCAACTGAGTCGATATTTTTAATATGGTTGTCGAGATCTGGATGAGCGTTGTAAATAATCTCTCCTATTTTCATAGGTCTTAGTTGTCCTACAAAATTTTCTGAATTGTTTTCAATATAAACAAAATACGGACCTGAATCAGTTGGACTGAATAAGTATATTTATCTCTTGTTGATTGAAGGAGAATTAATTGGTTTATCACCATTGATTTCTGAGATTTTATCAGTAACATTGGTTCCGTCTTTGCTAGTTGAATTTGTTGAATTTGCAATAAAAGAACTATTAATAGAACTAATTTGACTTACATTTGCTTCATTTATATTTCTGATTACATTACCGCTCATAGTATCACTTATTTCTCTATCATCTCTTAGGGTTTTGGTTGCTGGAATATATTCCATCTGCGTTAAATTGCTAATATCATTCATCATTTCATCATCACTTAGAACAACACGATTAGGGACTCCGAAAAGAGTTCCCGGGGAGAGTGCCTCCCCCATTGGAAAGACACTTCACTAATGCGACTACACTAGTATGTAGTTCGAAAGTATTAACACAAATAACACAAGGGAACCTAAAAATAAAATTAAACGAGAAAACCCAACAAAAAAGACTGAAAATTGAAATTATATTTCAAATTACTATTGTCACGTTGACGTTGACTTCTTTATTAGTGTTTAAAAGTAAATTTTGTAATTATTGTCTATTGTATTAGTGGCACCGACTTTAACATTTCACTACAACTAACATACATGTAGTAATATTAAAATTTTCTGATATGTGCACATAATGGTTACTACAACACCCTTATGATTCATTACAGTACGCTCTCTGTAAGGGCTAAGTAAAGAGTTAGGCAATTAATAGTTTACATATTAGAAATAGAAAAACATCATGATGTATTTTAATTTTAATAAATAATAAAATAAAGATTATAAAATATTATTACAAAACAAAATAGACATCATCAGATTGAATAAATAAACGAGTAGGTACTCAATGAGATTTAGTATTGGGTCTATTAATTGTACCATTTCTCGACAGGGATCTCAGGCAGTAAGGCTTCCTTTTAATATTTGAGGAATTTGCTGGTCATCCAGCTTGTATTGATTTAGCCCCCGAAGTCATTCCAGGTTGAACTCTTCTCCCACTTATAGAGATGCGTTTTGTACTCTTATAGTCCTTTGTCTTTGTACGATTTTATTATTATGAAAAAAGCTTATTATATTCCGAGGGGGTCGTTAGTTTACTTAATTTTTGATTAAGTTTTTTAACAGCATTGTTCATTACTACTGATTTATTTTCTTCAATTACTTTTAACATTCTTGTAATATTCTGCAAAAGTTTTTTATCGGTACAAAGATATTGAATGCTAGTAGCTACATTTTCCAAATCTTTAAAATTCCAGCCAAGGAGCTGATCATCTTCATGGCAAAAGCTTTTTAAAATTTGCAATATTTTGTTTTTACAATTTATTGCTAACAAAGTATATATGACAGACTCCACAGAAAAGTAAACTTGCACTGAGAGGAATAATGTAGTCTTACAATTATTACATCGTAAAAAATTGTGTGGCATGGCCAAAACATAATGACGCGATCTGTACTTGAGTAGAGTTTGTAGTATACAAATACGCCGTTGGGGATTACAAATTATACTAGCTTTCAGAGCACAGCGCTGTCTGCATCGCAGTACAGATTGTAATGCGGCTCGCGCCAAATGAAATTACATAGCCTACTACGGTACAGACAAAGGCGTGCTCTACCCTACACAATAGTATACTATTGAAATACGCGGCCCGGCGGCGTATTTCCGTAGTATACTACTGTGCAGAGCAGGCCGTTGTCTGTACCGTAGTAGGCTATGTAGCATCTTTTAAAGTTACGCCACATTACAATGTGTACTGCGATGTAGACATCGCTCTATTCTGTAAAGTAGTATAATATATAGTCGGCAATGGCGTATTTATAAACTATAAACTCTACTCGATTACAGAACTTTTAAATTATTCGTTGAACATAATACTTCCTTTACTTGGAATTAGCAGTACCTATTTTATAATAGGCAAATGAAGTATAAATGTTTATTCCCAATAATACAATTTTATTATAATAAACATTAAAATAAATATTATAAAATATGTTGAAATAAAGATAATATATAAATTATTTATTTATTATAATATAAAATAATGTTTATTAGTGTTTAAAAGTAAATTTTCTAATTATTATCTATTGTTTTAGTGGCAACGACTTTAACATTTCACTACAACTACGAACTACCAACATTAATTTAGTAATATTAAAATTTTCTGATGGGTGCACATAATGGTTACTACAACACCCTTGTGATTCATTACAACACGCTCTCTGTAAGGGCTAAGTAAAGAGTTAGGTAATTAATAGTTTACATATTAGAAATAGAAAAACATCATGATGCATTTTAATTTTAATAAACAATGAAATAAAGATTATAAAATATTATTACGGGAAATATTTTGTTACATTTATTACAACGTCAAAGATTGTGTGGCATGGCTAAGACATAATGACGCGATCCTGTACTTGAATAGAGTTTGTAGTATACAAATACGCCGTTGGGGATTACATATTATACTCAGCGTTGCCAGTGTCAGTGCTAAAATACTGAAATCAGTACGTCAGTGCTACTTTTTATGCTTCAGTACCTTTTTCTGTTTTTAAGGCAAATGGTTTGCGGTAAAGTAAAATAAAAATATTGTTCACTTACTCTACATGCTTTGCTACTCTATAAATGTCATGTGGTCTATTGTTGTTAGTGCGCAAAATGTCATGTGGTCTATTGTTGTTAGTGCGCATATTTCAAAATTTACTTTTTTTGTATCTCACAAAAAAATCCATCAGTTGGATTGTTCCAGATCTAATTCAAACTGTTTAAGCATGTGCGATTTAAAGATAATAATATTTTTAAATTATGCTTACTGGAAATGTATTAAATTGATTGTGCATGAGGGAGAATTTACCAAAGCATTTTGCTTAAATGAATAATAATAGATTTTAGAAAAACGTAATAATTCTAACCAAAAAAGTAATAGATTTACTATGAAAGTAATGACAAAAAAACACTGGTTCTGGCGCTAGGTCGCACAATTTTTGACAATGACAACTGATTTGTGCTTTTTTTTTTATTAATTCCAGGTTTGTTCTGGTTCTCAAAATAGAAACAGTTTTGAAACTGCGCCGGACCGTGCGCGTCTAGGCAAAAAATCCCCGACTGTTTGAGATTGTTGAAAAACCAGAACACATAAAGACATAAAGATGTTTTGTTTATTGTTTATTTAAATAATGCATTTCCTTATGATAGCTCCACTCAAAATAACTTTTGCATGTATATGTTCATCATTATCATCCTTATCACATTTCAATAGAATAAAAAACACGGAAGAATAATTTTAAAAAATAAATCTAAAATTGCCTCAATTTACAAATAAAAGAAGAACTAGATGTATTCATCCACACATAAATAAACTATATGGGATTGTATACATTCTGTATGGTCTTAAAAACTAATACAATATTTATAACACTTCAACAACGCATGCGCGGTCAAAACAGTCTGAGTTGATCCACACTCCGAAGCATGAACACATTTTGACTGTTTACAACAATCACGTTTTATTTCGGATACGAAACCAAAACACTGGACTGGGAAATCAGAAGTATTTCGAGAAAAACCAGAACACTTTTTATCTACTGCGCATGAACCCGACAGTTGTGGATCGTTATTTCTCAAAACCAGAACACCAATGGTATTCTCATCTCTCAATTCGGCACGTGTTGAGACGACTATCTTCGTTCCACAGAATGCGATTCGTACGTAATGTCTCTCTTTATTTAATTCGTGTTGAGTACGCACATAAGAATCCCTGTTCAGACCTTCTATGTTAAATAAATGCAAATGGCACTCATATCGATGGCTCAATCAAATACTATTGTTTCGAGAAATTTCATTTTAAAATTTTGTTTCCTTTATATTGTTTTTGACATAAAATCTTTATATTTTATTTAAAAACACCGACATTTTGCTGTTAAAATTAATGATTACGGTTATAAAAGCGCCCTAACTCAAGTTATTGCATAATTTGTAAAAAAATTTGGTTGTTTTTGCAGAAAATAACTCGAATTGGGGCAGTTTTAAATACAGTTTGTGGCTAGATTTTAAATGATTTTTTGGCATATCTAAGAATATTTTTGTTTGTCGTTTCAGATGAAGCAACTGTCATTGTCTATCAACTGTCAGTACTTTTCATTTTCAGTCAATACCGTTTTCAGTATGACTGCAGTACTTTTATTTTCCTATTAGGCATTCCAACGACCTGTCAAACAATAGGTGCCAGTAGGAAATTCTTGTATATGTAAGGGGGTAGCGACATAGTCTTGCAACTTGGACGCTATTTTTATTCGAAGTAGTACTCGCCAAGCCTGCCAATTTATGAAGAAATGTATAGGTGGGTTTTTTAAATATTATTTTTATTGTGTATGACATAAAATTATTAAATGTAATGCATTATTCATGATTTTACGTAAAGTAGATAGAATACACCATATGTCGCCACCCTTAGATATACCAAACCTGCCCACTTTGTGCATTTGTTTGGAATGCCTAATTGCAATAGAGATTGTATGCCCTCTTATCTGTTGCCAGTGAATTTGGTGTTTTTGGTTATCCACCTGTTCACTGCCTGTCGAGCAGAGGTTTTGCTTATCACAAATACAGGTTCGGGTCCTGTGAATGGTAGATCTGATCCGTCTTTGGCGAGTTCATCAGCCTTTTCATTTGCTTGGATACCTTTGTGCCCTGGTACCCACGCCAGTTTTACCTTGTTGTGGGTTGCCAGATCATTTGGTATTCCAAGGCAGTTCCAGACAAGCTTTGACTTATGTTATGTTGAGAATGGGGTGTTAATACACTGCGACCTAAAAGATCTATTGTACCCCCTTCTGTGGCCACTGCACTAAGGAAATGTCTCAATGCCTATAGCGACCCTTCCAATCCTATTTTCTCAAGGAAGTGTAGGATTTGAAGTGGCATCAAGTTAGGTAAATCTCCCTCTTCTATTTGATATCCTCCTAGATATAGTACCCTTGGATTCTGGAGGGATTCTGGAGTGCTACACATTCAGTTTAAAAGGTTTGACTTAATTCTGTTTGA